CTCCCATCACCCCCTCCGTCTCCCATCACCCCCTCCGTCTCCCATCATCCCCTCCATCTCCCATCACCCCCTCCATCTCCCATCACCCCCTCCATCTCCCATCATCCCCTCCCAGCTCTGCCATGTTAGTCAGACCTTCTACTCCGATCCTCTGCTTCCCAGAAGCCAACACAGCACCTGGTGCATAAAAGAGCATTCATTCACGGGACCTGACCGTCCTCCACCTGGTTCATAAGAGACGCATTCATTCACGGGGCCTGACCATCCTCCACCACTTTGTTCCTTCGGCACAAGTCCCTTGCCATTCAAGTCAACTGAATGAATGAATGGTCAGTGCAACTAACTCTCAGAGAGTTCCAGAAGCCCGCCCTGGCCCTGGCCCTGGTCTAGGTCAGGCCTCTTCACCTCTGGCCTGCATTCCTACCAAGGTGACCTCTCCTGAGTGCCAGCCTCATCCCCTCCAGCCCCTCCTCTCACCCCGACCCAGACGGATCCAGCAAAATGGAAATCCAACCACACTCCTCTCGGCTCCAAAGCCTACAACTTGCTGTTGGTACAGCGGGGGTGATGCTTGAAGACATTATGCAAAGTGAGTGGGGCAGCAACACAGGCCTCCTCCCGTATCATTCCACTCATCACGCCATGTGCGGAACGGGCAGAGCTACAGAAACAGAAAGGAGACTGCCGTGAGGGGTTGGGGATGGAGGGTGACGGATGAACGGTGCAGGGTCCGTTTCCTTTCTTTTCCTTTTTTAAGATGGAATCTCGCTGTGTCATCCAGAGTGGCTGGATCTTGGCTCACTGCAACCCCCACCTCCCAGGTTCAAGCGATTCTCCTGCCTCCGACTCCCAAGTAGCTGGGATTGCAAGTGCACAACACCACGCCCGGCTAATCTTTTTGTATTTTCAGTAGAGACCGGGTTTCTCCATGTTGGCCAGGCTGGTCTCGAGCTGCTGACCTCAGGTGATCCTCCCACCTTGGCCTCCCAAAGTGCTGGGGTGACAGGCCTGAGCCACCGTGCCCGGCCGGGGTACAGGGTTTCTTTTGGAGATGAGGAAAGTGTTCCAAATGGACTGCGGCTGTGGCTGCACCTGTGTGTGGATACGCTAAAAACCACTGCAGTTTAGATCGGTGCCTTGGGAGGGTATGCGAGTTCTGTCTCAAGACAGCCGTTTCTGGAAACCTGCGATGGCTTCCCATTTCCCCCCGGGGAGACTCCCAGCTGCCCCTTACGTACCATTACCACGCAAGCCCCCACGCCCTGCTGGTGTTGCTCTGAGCACTGGGTGTGGCCTGTCCCATCTCACCCTCTCCTGGCTCTCACGAAGGCGTTACATGATGCCCATTCTGTAGACGGGAATGCTGAGGAGGAGGGCCGTGAATGACTTTCCTGGGGCCCCCTAATCACCTCGTGGGTACATCTGGCAGGGGCACTTCTTGCAGTATGTCATAAGAATCTGTTTAAGAGTCCCTCCCCGCTGCCCAGAGGCTCCGGGAATTGGCGATGGTGTCTGGCCAGCACTCTATTCCCTGTGCCCAGCCCAGTGTTCATCAGACCTGACTCAAAAACCGTAAAAGGGGCCAGGCGCGGTGGCTCACGCTTGTAATCCCAGCACTTTGGAGGCCAAGGTGGGTGGATCACCTGAGGTCAGGAGTTCAAGACCAGCCTGACCAACAGGGTGAAACCCTGTCTTTATTTAAAGAAAACAAAAAACAACAAAACAAAACAAAAAACCATAAAAGGGGCAGGGTGTGGTGGCTCAAGCTTGTAATCCTAGCACTTTGGGAGGTGAGGCGGGCGGATCACCTGAGGTCAAGAGTTGGAGACCAGCCTGGCTGACATGGTGAAACCCTGTCTCTTCTCAAAATACAAAAATTAGTGGGGCATGGTGGCAGGTGCCTGTAGTCCCAGCTACTCGTGAGGCTGAGGCAGGAGAATTGCGTGAAACCAGGAGGCGGAGGCTGCAGTGAGCCGAGATCGTGCCATTGCAATTCAGCCTGGGCAGCAGAGCAAGACTCCATCTCAAAAAGGAAAAAAAGTCTGGGTGCGGTGGCTCATGCCTATAATCCCGGCACTTTGGGAGGCTGAGGAGGGCGTATCACAAGGTCAGGAATTTGAGACCAGTCTGGCCAATATGGCAAAACCTCATCTCTACTGAAAATACAAAACTTAGCCAGTCATGGTGGCGGGCACCTGTAATCCCAGCTACTCAGGAGGCTGAGGCAGGAGACTCACTTGAACCTGGGAGGCGGAGGTTGTAGTGAGCCGAGATTGTGCCATTGCACTCCAGCCTGGGAGACAGAGTGAGACTCTGTCTCAAAAAAAAAAAAAAAAAAAACCTGAAAGAATGTGGCAAGGCACTGGCTGGGTTCCGTGGTGTCAGGGTCCTGGGCTTGGGCTCCCGTGGACAAAGACAGGTCCCACGCAGCCTCTGCCCCTGCCACCCACCAGGAGGTGGTTCCAGGAGCTGTTTTCGCCCGAGCCCTTGGGGGGCTTTCCTCCCCAAATCTGGTCGCCTCCTGGGACCTTTCCCTGTAAGTGAGAGGTGGGCCCTGCCCAGAGCCACTGCTGCACCCCTGGGTCCTGGCTCTACCCGCACATGGTCCCTGGGAACAGCAGGGATCACGGAGAACTGCCCCAAAGGTTCCCGAGCCCAGGCCCAGTCCCTCGGACTAGGAAGGCTGCGGGTGCCCCCATGTCCTGGAAGGTGGTACCGGCTTTGGTGGGATGGGGAAAGCTTCCCTGGAGGGAGACTGGGCCTCCCTGAAGCAGACGACAGAGGTATATGTTTGAGGAGAGAGGAGCTTTCTCAGAGGACCGCTCCTGGGGGCCCAGTGCCCGTGGCTCTCCAGGGAGCTGCTCCCGGCTGCGCCAACGCCCACCCGCCGGCCGTCCTCTGGCCCCGACCAGCCTGGGCCAGTGGTTTTGTCCCCACGGCCGCCCCTACCCTCACTCTGAAAGCGTCGCCTGCCCTGCTTCTCTCTCCCCCCACCTTTTGTAACTCTCTCTTCCTGGACTTCAAGAGTCCCTTGCCAATATCTGCTGACACATTCTATGGAATCCTTTATAAATAGTTGTGCCCAGATGGCCTGGACTGGACACAATCTAAGACAGTTCACTCAAAACCCTGTAGATGTAAAAACGCGGCCACATGCCCCTTCCTGGGCGAGGCGGGCCGTGCCCTCTGATGCTCACGTTTCACTTGGGACCCAGACCTGCCCTGCCCTGAAGACGGAGGCTGGAATCAGCGCAGCTGCGGAGCTGCAGAGGGCTCTGGGGGACTCCACCCTCGGGAGGAGCAGCCTGCGAGCTCTCCCCTCCTCGTGCGCCCTGGGGAGCCTGGCCCTGAGCCCTCAGTGCCCCGCAGGGAAGCCGCCGCTCTTGGAAACCGGAGCTGGGGGAGGCTAGGAGCGCTCAGGTGCCCTGGAGGACAGGTTCCTGGGAACACAGGGCCCTGGGACCCCCGTCAGGTGGCAGCCTCTGCTGAGACAGCCCCACTCAGGGATGACTCTGGGGCAGCCCCTCCCTCCAAACGCAGCATGCCCCGCAGCCTGGCGGTCTCTCTGCCCTGCGGGACTTAACACCGGCAGCTCCTGAGTGCCCTCCCCGAGCCACAGGCACCGTCGAGCAGTGATGCCCAGAAGCAGAGATGAGAGAACAGAGCAGACGCCTTCCCGGCCCCGGGGCCCCTCCCAAGGGGAAGGGAGGCCAGCGAGAAAAGGGGTGTCCCTCAAGCCCCCACGCCCAGCTCTCCACACCCCAGGCAGTGTGTGTGGGGCCTGCCTGGGGGACATGCCGCCCCCTGGGCCCAGCCCCACTCTGGAGGGAAAAGCAGCACTTACCATGATGGAAAAGATGAGGGGGATGAGATTGAGGGGCCAGACGGGGCAGAAGCAGGAGGCAACGGCCAGGACGAGGTAATCTCGGGGGGCTCCCCGGTCTTGGACATAGGAGGTGGTGGCGATGGAGGAGGCCCTCCTGGAGCTGGCCCGGGAGGGGGACCGAGGCAGTGGGGCCTCCAGCTGCCCCTCGGAGATGGCCTTGAGGGGCAGGCCGTGGTCATTCCGCTCCAGATCCAGAGGCGCCGAGAGGGAGCTAGACAGACTCAGGGTCTTGCCATCCTTGTTCTCTGCCCTGGTGAGGAGTTTCTCCATCTCCGGCAGGTCCAGGGATGAGGTGGAGCCCGGCTCCTGTGCAGAGGGAAACTGAGGCTGCCCCAGGTCGGCCATGGGTACCTGGCCTTGCGCTGCTGCAGCTCCAGGTGGGAACACAGGCTCTGGAGGGACCTCAGCGCACCATTCCCCAGCCCAGACTCTGGGCCTCCGGGTCGGGGCAGAGGCGTCCCCCGAGGGCCGGAGGGCTGGCTGTGTGCTGGAAGGTTTGGGCTGGGCTTCTTGAGGCCAGCTGAGTTCAGAGGCTGGGGCCTGCCCGCTGCCCTGCGGAGCTCCCAGGAAGACACTGGAGCCTCCAGCTCCGTTCAAGTGTGAGGCCAAGTTTGCTGGCGCTGCTGAGAGCACAGATGGGCAGGGAAGCAACGGAAAGCTCTGGGAGCAGGGAGGAGAATGCGCCTCTTCCCAGGGAGGCTCAGGCTAGGTTGCAGAGGCTGTGTGTGTGTGTGTGTGTGTGTGTGCGTGCGTGCGCGCGTGCACCCCACACAGCCTTCCTCCCTCTCCCCCTCCTTGGTGATGCTTTTCCTCTTCAATTCCCTCTCTCCAGAGATTCACCCTGGCAGCATTTTTGCCTCTGCCCCAGCCCAGCCCAGCCCAGCCCAGAGAGACTCAGGGCAGCCTCAGGTTTCCGCTGGAGCTCCAGGGCCTGCTCCTCCAGGTGGGGGCTGAGAAAGACACATTAGTGGCCAGGCGTGGTGGCTCACACCTGTAATCTCAGCACTTTGGGAGGCCAAGGCGGGCAGATCATGAGGTTAAGAGATCGAGACCAGCCTGGCCAACATGGTGAAACCCTACCTCTACTAAAAATACAAAAATTAGCCGGGTGTGGTGGTGTGTGCCTGCAATCCCAGCTACTCTGGAGGCTGAGGCAGGAGAATCACTTGAACCTGGGAGGTTGCAATGAGCCAAGATCTTGCCACTGTACTCCAGCCTGAGTGACAGAATGAGACTGTCTTAAAAAAAAAAAAAAAGGAAAAAAAATCACCCTGGGCCACACAGGGGTGTGTCTTCAGCTGTCCGGGGAACTGAGCCCTGTGCGGCTTCTGCCAAGGCAAGCTTGCAGTTCCTCCCATCTGCTGGGAAATGCTGGGCCTTAGGCCCTCCCCTCACATCCCACCCAGACCCTGGCCCCCAACCCCTATGAGCATCCAGGCTGAAGCCTGGCTCCAGCTCCAGGAGGAAAGGGGAGGCGTGGGCGCCGGGCGGGGTAGCCCCCGGAGGGTGCGGATGCTGCCTGGACCAGCAGGTCCCACGAACGGGTTTCTACGCAGCTCTGCACCGGGTAGGGAGGAGGGTAAGGGGGGCTGTTGAGCCGGCCTCGTGCCCATCAGAGCAGTTCCGTGGTGCTAAAGAGCCGGGAGGCAAAGAGCCCCTAGGTCAGAGCTGCTCGGGCGGGCGCCAGTTCTGAAGGGCCTCAGGCTGCGGCTGTCTGTCCTCTCGGATCCTCCTCTGCCTCTTTGTTCTCTCTTAGGTTTTCCTCCTCTGATTCTGCCTTCATCTCTGTCCTCTGCATCTCTTTCTCTCTAACACTTCTCCTTACATTGTTTCACAAGTGTGACCCGGAGCCACCAGGGATGTGTGTCTGTGGTTTGAAAGTGGCTGTATAAAATAGTTTAAAATCCTACAATCAGGCGGGGCATCATGGCTCATGCCTGTAATCCCTGCGCTTTGGGAGGCCGAGGCAGGAGGGTTGCTTCAGCCAAGGACTTCAGGACCAGCCTGGGCAACATGGCGAAATCCCATCTCTACAAAAAATACAAAAATTAGGTAGGCGTGGTGGCATGCACCTGTAATCCCAGCTACGTGGGAGGCTGAGACAGGAGGACTGCTTGAACCTGGGAGCTCAAGGCTGCAGTGAGCCGAGATCGTGCCACTCAGCTCAATGGGAGATATGGGAGCTGAAAGGACACCTGTAAATGAATAAGATTTGAAAATTTGGCTGGGCCTGTAATCCCAGCGCTTTGGGAGGCTGAGGCAGGTGGATCACTCGAGGTCAACAGTTCGAGATCAGCCTGGCCAAAGGGCAAAACCGTGTCTCCACTAAAAATACAAAAATTAGCCAGGCATGGTGGCAGGTGCCTGTAACCACAGCTACTTGGGAAGCTGAGGCAGGAGAGTCACTTGAACCTGGGAGGCGGCGGAGGTTGCAGTGAGCCGAGATTGCACCACTGCACTCTAGCCTGGGTGACAGAATGAGACTCCTTCTCAAAACAAAAAAAACCTCACAATGTTTGTGGCTTTGGTACAACTTTTCAGATGTCATAAATTTGACTATATTAAGAATTTTGCTCAGGCTGGGTGTGGTGGTTCATGCTTGTAACCCCAGCACCTTGGGAGGCCGAGGTGGGTGGATCACCTGAGGTCAGGAGTTCAAGACTAGCCTGGCCTAGTCTTCATGGTGAAACCCCATCTTTAAAAAAAAAAATTGAGACCATCCTGGCCAACTTAGGGAAACCCCATCTCTATCATAAATACAAAAATGGGCTGGGTGTGGTTGTGCGCGTCTGTAGTCCCAGCTACTCAGGAGGCTGAGGCAGGAGAATTGCTTGAACCCAGGAGGCAGAAGTTGCAGTGAGCCAAGATCACACCACCGCACTCCAGCCTGGGCAGCAAAGTGAGACTCCATCTCAAAAAAAAAAAAAAAAAATTTTTTTTTTTGGCTGAACAAAGGAAACCCGTAGTGATTTGCAAAATGGACACCTTGGGGAAGCGGCCTCATCCTCCTCAGTTCTCCGGGAGTCCAGGTGTGGGGCCAGGAGTGAGCTGGGCTCCAATGCCCAGGAGCACCCAGAAATATGTTAATGTCTGTGTAACACGAAAGTTCCTTCGCAGGGTGGCTAGGGGGTCCCTGAGACCCCTTAGGCTGCAAGTCAGTACCCAGTTGGTCAGAATTCCATGGTACAGCCTAGGAGCTGGCCCCTGGGTGGAGGGACCACAGCTGCCCAGCCCAATTCAGTAACCCCTAACCACATGTGGCTTCCAAGCCATTGAAATGAGACTCATCCAAGTTGAGATGAGCTGTGACTGTAAAATCCACACAAGACTTGGTCCAAAAACAAAAAGAATGTAAACTATCTCATTACTTTTTATATTGATTACATATTGAAATGATAACATTTTGGATATATTGGGCTAAATAACACATTAAAATCAACATTATTGATTTCATCTGCTTATTTTTACTTTTTAAAAATATGTCTAGTAGCTGGGCGAGGTGGCGTGTACCTGTCATCCCAGCTACTCGGAGGCTGAGGCTGGAGGATCGCTTGAGTCCAGGAGTTCTGGGCTGTATTGTGGATACCATTTGGGTGTCCACACTAAGTTCGGCATCAATATGGTGACCACCCGGAAGTGGGGTACCACCAGCTTGCCTAAGGAGGGGTGAACCAACCCAGGTCAAATGGAGCAGGTCAAACCTCCTGTGCTCATCAGTAGTGGGATCGCGCCTGTGAATAGCCACTGCACTCGAGCCTGGGCAACATAGCAAGACCCCATCTCTTAAAAAAAAAAAAAAGAAGAGAAGACAAATGTGCCTAGTAGAAAATTAAAAAAAAATTTTTTTTGAGACGGAATCTTGCTCTGTTGCTAGGCTGGAGTGCAGAGGTGCCATCTCAGTTCACTTCGATCTCTGCCCTCCATGTTGAAGCGTTTCTCCTGCCTCAGCCTCCCTAGTAGCCGGGGATACAGGTGCTCGCCACCACGCCCAGCTAATTCTTTGTATTTTCGGTAGAGACGGGGTTTGACCATGTTGGCCAGGCTGGTCTTGAACTCCTGACCTCAGCTGATCCACCCGCCTCGGCCTCCCAAAGTGCTGGGATTACAGGCGTGAGCCACTGCGCCCGGCTATGTGTTAAATTTTTGATTGAATAAAAGGAGGAAAGAAAAAACTCAGGTTGGCTGGCGGACTGAGGTCGGGGGAATTAGGGACCGTTTGCTCTGCCCGTGTAGGATGCTGGATTCTCAGCGCCACCTAGTGGCAGGTAATGATGAGGGGAATGACCAGAGAGGAGGGAGCAGGGCGGAGGGAAAAGCCGCCATGGATTTGGACTCCTGGCAGGTCAGCCCAGCCCAGCCCAGCCCAGCCCAGCCCAGCCCAGCCAGCTGCCCATGGCGGCGCTCGTCTGCAGTTGCTCCAGGCAGGTTCAAACGTAGGACCACGTGGAAGACCATGAAGGACCGTGGCGGTGTTCATCACACAAGGTGGGTTTGGCTGGCACAGTGCTGGCCCAACAGGTGACTTTTTTTGTGAGATGGAGTCTCATCCTTGTTGCCCAGGCTGGAGTGCAATGGCACAAGCTCGGCTCACTGCAACCTCCACCTCCCGGGTCCAAGCAATTCTCCTGCCTCAGTCTTCCGAGTAGCTGGGATTTCAGGCACCTGCCACCATGCCTGGCTAATTTCTGTAATTTTAGGAGAGACGGGACTTCACCATGTTGGCCAGACTGGTCTCAAATACCTGAACTCAGGTGACCCACCCGCTTCGGCCTCCCAAAGTGCCAGGATGACAGGTGTGGTTTAGCGGGCACAGTGTTGACTCAACATGTAATTTTTTTTTTTTTTAGACAGAGTTTCGCGCTTGTTGACCAGACTGGAGTGCGATGGTGCCATCTTGGCTCACTGCAACTTGGGATTACAGGCGCGCACCACTACGCCTGACTAATTTTTGTATTTGTGTATTTTTCGTAGAGATGGGGTTCCACCATGTTGGCCAGGACGGTCTCCATCTCCTGACCTCAGGTAATCTGCCCGCCTCAGCCTCCTAAAGTGCTGGGAATAGAGGCATGAGCCACCACGCCTGGCCACGATAACCACCATTTTTAAATAATCACAAAATCCTTTCTTCACCACATATCAGTCATCTTGGAGAATGGATATGATCTTGGGAAGCCGACAGAAAATCAAGCAAGAGTTCCAGGAACCCTAAAGGGCACATAACTAAAGCTACTCAGGCCCAGGACCCCTGCAGCATCAGAGGGAGGAGGAAGCGCTTGTCAGGCTGATACGTGTTTGATACACACACAAGTGTCCACACAGCCACACATCTGTGTAAGCACACACAA